GTTGGGGTGCCACATCTTTGTGAGGAAGCGAAAGGTCGGTGGAGAGTACGGGTAGTCCACGGGGAACTTGATGTGAGCCTGGAAGAACAAACAAAGTCTGACCGTCAACATGTTGACTTCCATAATGCTACGTTTATGTCCTTCAATCTTTGGAGGTTGGTGAAGCACATTGATCGGTAGAATATGTAAACAAATAAAAACAGGCTTTATCTTTCCAAATATATAAAATATATTTAATATATTTTCAAGACATACTTCTCCTAGTGAGACATATTAAGTGTTTCCTTCATGCCTCCCTAAAATAAAAATGAAGTGAAACTGCAATGTTTTGGCGGTTTCTAAGAAAAATGCTATTTGCTTTCAAATTCATTTTTAAATTCAGGAACTAGAGCAACGTTGTTAACTGTAATGTTCAAAGATTCAAAAGGTTTATTATCATATAATATACACAACTACAGTGTAGTTATGTAATCGATGAAAAACTTCAACTTCAATGTTGCAATAAAAAACAAGTTTAAGTAGGTTTACAAGTTCCCTAATAACCAGCTCATACACAAAGACGCTTCCAGTAGCCTTTTCTTTTTTTTTTAATTAATCACAACAGTGACATTATATCATACACTCAGCCATTTGTCTAATCACACTGTAAAGCAGCCTGTTTATGTTTTTCAGCACATTGCAGTTGAGCTAGGCATTTGGTGACACGAGAAGTTGGTGCTTCCGTTTCTGTGTTTTCTTTCCATGGTATTGTGCAACTAGGTGAAAGGCGTGTAGGCCTGGGTGTGTGTCACACCACCCGGCTCTCCCTGAGCTGCTGCCCCTCAGATAGGACTATCATTGCTCCACCACTAGTCAATACACTAAAGCAGCCTTGGGATATTAAAAGACAGACGCCATGACAAACACGTTTCCATGTTAAACAAATGTACAAAGTTAAACATATTTCATTAATTACACCTGCATATCATAACATAACATACAGCCCTTCTTGTATAGCACACTCAAGTCAGCATAAGAATCATTAATATCTCAAATGTAGTTGTGCTGGTGTCACAGTAGGTCAGGGGTGAGAACGTTTTGCCTCAAAGCAAGAATGCCCTGGGTTCGACAGTGTCTAAAGGTTCTTGGTTACGCGTTACATCAGTGGTTTTCAAAGTTTGAGAATGTGGGCCTCCTTTCCCCCCTCCTTGGTTTCCTAGCTTCCACCAATTCCTGGATGTCTATGTGAGCATGGTTATGTTATTTGATACTGTAGACAATTAACATGTAAGGCAAAATAGCCAAGTAATGCCCGTTGACATAACTCAGATAACCGAAACAACATTAAGTATATTAGTTTCTGACTCTTAGAAAATAGGAACATTTGTACAATGACTGTATCTCTGGAATATCTCTGCAACCACAAACAACTTCAGGATCCTCTTTTTGAAAATGTTTTGATTTCTATTGTATGACTGTGACAACCTGCACGCGTGCCTCCGCTAAAGACTTGCATCTTAGGTAAATTGGAAACTCAATCAATGGCCCTTGCTGTCTGTTCTAACCCTGAGAGAGCAATTCCTCCTCTGTTGCTGTGTGGCCTCTATCTGACCACAGGTTCTAAGAATAGATGCTGTATTGTGATATGTTAAACGGATTTTAAAAACACACGTATTTCAAGGATACACAATCAATAAAATATGTTTGACTTGTAAGTAGATAACACAAGGATGTCACTATGAAAGGTGAAGTGAAACGTAATGGCAGCAACGCGTTGCTCTGTATTATTTTGGCATTCCTGGAAGATTGCAGCATTGCCTCAACTTGAATGTGGGCTTTCACTGTACCACATTTTTCTAGATGTTTCACTCGATAAGTGACATGAAAGACAGGAAGATGAGTCTCTTCGTGCCCTTCTCTGTGCTGACTGAGGTCCCGTTTATATCGGTCCCACGGCTAAAAATAGCCAACTCAAGCACAACCATTATTCAGCAAGGGGGAGAGGGCTGGACAAGAGGGAGAGGGGAGAGAGACTAAACATTTAAGAAATATATATGACTGCCTGCCTAAAAAAAAGATTTAAAACAAAATAAGTGTTTGGCCAGTCATGGTGGTATTTGCTGATTTAAAAGTGCAACAACACCACATTTGGCTAAACAGAGTCGCAGTAAGAGGCAGCAATCACCTTTAAATCCTACTTTGGAAAGAAACTTGCCCAGGAGCACATTTGCACTGTATACACATTACCTTCATGAATGTGTTGCATTATTAAAAGCAGCACCATTTGTTTTCTGCCCTTTCCTACTAGGGCTTGGAAATATATCTATAATAAATCAATATTGTGATATTTTGAAAATCATAATTTTCTTTTCCTGGTTTCCTGGTCCAGGCAGCATTACAGTCAGGTGATATATTGTTACTAGCTGTTCTAGCTTTATCCACTTAGTTATTATTTCCTCATTGCTGATTATTATTTATCTACAATGTCATTGTCTGAATGTTTGTATAAACACCAGTAGTCAACCCTAAAATATAGTTGCAATATCAATATTGGGGTATTTGATGGGAAATACCATGCTATTTGATTTTAAACACGTCACCCAGTCCTATTTCCTAGTATTATGAAGTTTTGGCCCACCTTAAAGTATCCTCCTTCATACAGGGTGTTGGGGGGCCCGAAGATAGCCACTTCCCAGTTGTAGAGGTCAGACTCCTCCACCAGAGTGATGCGGAAGCCCTCCACCGGCTGCTCCTGCAGAGACTTCAGCTCCATCATCAGGGCCTTCTGGGAACTAGGGGTAGCCTGGTGGGCCATGTTAATCCCACTGCTGACCCCAGTGGCCCCATATTAAAGAAAGGAAAAGGAGAGAGAAAAAAAAAAAGACATTGTCAGAATTCGACTTTTACGTATTTTAACATTTCATGGTTTAATGGTTATTTGGCCCTGCATCAAAACACTACAATCTGTTAGCTTTGTTTGTATTGACTTTAGGGTTTTTAGAACACGCTAGGACAAAAGACAGCACACCTGAATATATAACAGCCCTAATTGTAAACTGAGCACCACATGAAGAATTCAAACACAAACACGATATGTAGCCTGCCAAGCTAGCTAGGTTTACTTCGACGGCCCTATTGGGGGGAAAAGAAGCAAAGTTAATAAAAAGTGTTTACCTCCGTCTCCTTGCACTGTAATGTGAACTCGTTTAGTTAAAGCTGTAAACTCGACGGTTAACTCATTGGTTGTCCTGTCTATGTCTTGACAAAGAGATAGGGACAGTAGCAGTGGATTTTCTGCTAAAGCCTATGGCTGGTCCTCGTGTTGTGTTTCCGAAAATTCTTTGTGTTGCCAGTGTTGACAGTTGACATGGAGGTGGTATGATTGTAAGTCACGGTGTCCTGTGGATCATTATCGGGCTAAAGAGTGGAGACCTCCCTGACATCTCTGTCCGTGCTGCTGGCTCGGTTCGGGCAGCAGGCGCTCAGCTGATCGCCGCTTGTTTGTGTTTGTTTATCTGCTCTCTGGCAGTCTCAACTTCTCCACACGTCAGCTAAACCCCTACCGAGCAACTTGCTTCAAATGTATCGGCTCTCCTGCGCCCTGCCGTCCCCTCCGGCACAGTGGCAGTGAAAAAGGCGGATAAATTCGAGTCTACGGTCGCGGTAAAGGACAGTAAGTGAGAGGTTTAGACTCGCAAAATACACTGGATTGCATCGATTTTTATTTTCCTCCCATCGGTGCTTCCGGCTATCATTGCGCGTGTCTGAAAAACGTAAAGCACGTACGGATCTTACGTGACGTGCGCGCACTCGATGCCTAAAAACAACAACAATGTTTATATTTATTGATCAAATTAAGACTTTTATAATTATTTACACATTACAAGTTTAGATTTTAATTATAAAGGTAATTACAATAATTTAAATTAGCATAGCATAAGACAAATATATGTGTGGAGGACAGAACATGACATAAGTAAAAAAAGAAAAGAAGCTTAAATACAGGAATACAAAAATACAAGAATAAATACATGTGGAAAAAAATGAAATAAATGAATAGAGGAATACATTAATACAATAAAAAGTTTCACTTACATTTATACATTTCTGTGTCTGTGTAAACTGTAAAGCGTAATTAAACTTTGATTGACTTTGATTTGGCGCAAGAAGTACACTTCTCTTGAGAGCCCTCAAAAGCCAGATATAAATGTTTATTAGCCTCAAAATTTGTGTTGCTATTAAAGATTTTGCTACTAAATAAAACTCAAAATCTAACTCTATTCTAAACATTACTTTTTAAAAACATTATTATATGAAACTTGAAATAAATATTGCAATTAAAAATGTAAATAACAATTACAAATGTTTTTGTAAATGGGGACAAGGATTTCTGTTCTGTATAAACATACACAAAGGTACAGGACTTATCTTTGTGAGTTTTCATGTTTTGAGACATTTTGTGTCCTTGCCAGCCTAAAGGGGACACCCCCACCTCCGAGGGGCGAAAAAAAAAGGTAATGTATTCCATTCGCTTCAAACCAATCCTGTCAGTATATATTTTATATTATAATATGTAAACTAGGCGTTCTGGTACTCTTTTATTTTAACATTTTCTACTGAAAATTGCACATCTTGACACTAAACCAGTGTTCTTGTTTATTACATTTCTTTGTAAACGCTATTTTTCAGAACATTTATAAATTGAACTTTTAAAGAGTGGTGAGGACACAATTGGCCATTTCAAAAAGTGGTGGGCCCCCAGCGTCCCCAGAGCAAACGCCTATGTAGGCCTACTGCACCTTTTTATTTTATAACATTGTTGTTGGGTAGTGCAAAACGAATAAGCAGCCAGTAGCAAAATGTAAACCGGGTTGATGTTGTCCGAGTTGTTGTAATACAATGCCCTTTAAACTATTATTCAAAACAAAGTGTTGATTAAAATAATAATTTGCTACCTTTCTTTAAAAAGAAACACCTCAGTATGCTGACACCACTCACACAGCTGGATGTGATGTTGTGACATCATGTAGGCGAGTGACGTCAGACAGGAACCAGTGGAAGGGAGCTTGACAAATCAAGATGGCGTCCCACGCTGAAGCAGGAAAGAGATTCCAGTTAAAATAAAACTCTCCCAGAGCATAGTTTACATTTGAGTGCCACCTCGACAAGACGTCGTCTGAATTTTGTAAAAAAAAAGAAGACGGAGCAGATACAGGTGAGAGGAGTCTGTGCTTTATATGTGAGCTGAGTTTTGTTTCAGGGGCGGTGTCAGCAGCAGAGACAGCGGTCTGTCGTACCCAGACACACAACACTACAGACAGGCCACTGGCGAAGCTACGCGTATTAGCATAGAGCCTAGCTTTTGCTCAAAAACACTAGCCAGCAGCTTATGGTGGTTGTCAATGATTGTTAATATTCCACCAATACAAAAAAATAACACACCCGATGTTGACTTCTTAGCTAAACTGTCACTGTGTGTTCGCTGTTGGTGAGCTGAGAGTGACCAAAGATAATAATAGCTTAGCTTGTTGCTAATTAACAGTATCATAACTTGGCTATATAACACCAGGCAATAAGTATACATGTTAACGTACATCAATGCATCTGCTAGCAATACTTGACAAGTGGGAGTCTTGACAATTACAATTTTACCGTAAACTTGCCTGATTGCTGAACAGTCGTAACTGCGATGGTTTCGTTATTGTTTTAAAGTTGAAAAGAGTTCACACCCTTAACTAACAAACACAACAAAACTACGTTGGCAAGTTGTCCTGTACTGTTTTGGTTGTCGCTGATATGCGAAACACTAATAATAACGTAACTGTATTCTTGAGTACAGTAAGTAATTATTTGTGAAAAAAAGCTACGCAGAACAGAAACTTGAGGTCGAGGGGTGTTACATACTATTATGCCTTACTGTACTTTAAGAAAGTAACTACTAAATACAAGTCATATTACCATTTTAAGAAATCTGATAATAGAAATCCCCACCGATCACAAGACACCTCTTGATCACGTGTGGCCTATTTGCATGGTCATTCATGATTAGTGAGATGTAGTCTAATGCCAAGTATGATGACTAAACTCGAAACTGGGGCGAATGAACGGTGGATGGCTCCCATGTTAGTGTAGTACAATTAACCTGCCTGTTATAAATTAAAGCCAGATGTTCACATGTGTGCTGCTCTGCCACTGGTTTGTAGATGCTGTTACTATTTAGCAGTAGATGGCAGTCTTTTTTATAACAGACTGCTGTGTATTGCTACTTATTGTTTCAGAAAAAGGCTCTTAATGCATCAATATCTTCAGCAGTGATAGGCCGATAACAGGGTTTTATTTCCAATACTTTGATTGTATTTAGACCCTTTTCAAGGATTCAATTATTATTTTCCACACAACATAATGCTGTTGTTGTCGTGCTGCACACGACAAAACAGTAGGTAATTTTTTTATTTGCATCTAGAGGAATAACCGTAGCAACAAGAAAGGCAGATTAGTGGGCCAGATAAGATCACCAACACCTTAACATTTCAACATCAGGTAAATATTGTCCAATAACTTTGACCTTTGAGCACCAAGCAATGATTTAAACGAAGAGTCCTTCTTTTGTCCAACTGATACTCATTTCATCCGTCTTATTTTGCTGTGACTGGATATCAGCTATGAACAGGCTGGGTAGTAAAACAATCTTTATCTGTGAAACAATAAATCCCACTGCCATATTTAAGGGTCCTTAGACATTCCATATCAGTCTCTCTTTGGTGAATCTTTTACAAATACAGTATAGAATAAATGACTTCTAGCTCTATACTATGTGTCTATCAGTTTGTAATGGCTAATGTATAAGTGACTCTTTCCCATCTAAATGTCCAGTAGACACAGAACGCGTCATCTCGCCCCAGTCATCTTAGAAAATGATCTGTCTTTATTTGGCATGCTAGATGTTCAAACTTGTTCACCAGCCATCCATTCATTTCCTTTGTCTAAATGCTATTTTGTGCTGGGTGGGTTTCCTTTTGTGAATAATCATATATTTCCGATTGAATCAAATGAGCAAGCAAAGCGATCATGTATCAGTGAGTCTTTTCAGTGTTTATCTAAAATGTAGCTAATTGAAACTTGAAGTGATTTATTTACTAACAATTCAGCCCTTGGCCTGCAGCTGTATAATAGGATCAAATCTATCAGTTTTTCTTCTGAACATCAGCCTGAGCCACATCAGAGTACTGTGTTCAGCGGATGTGAAAACAGAGGCTTCTCTGTGTTCATAATGTCAGCCATTGTTGCTCAGCATGACCAAATAACGTTTTTTTTTACTTGAGATACAAAGCAGTTGAATGTAAAAAAAGCCAATGGGATCGTGAATTATATTAGACCAAATTTGCACTACCATGTACAAAAGTGTCATTACTTCTGTTCTGTAGGACCAATTGATCAGCTCAGTCAATGTGTTTTTTTACACTGTTGAAGCATGGTGTGTTTTGTTAAGATACGCGGACATGCTACAGTATGTAAATATTAACACTCTTTGACATTTAAAAAAAATGGAACTCCCACTGTTCATTGACTTTACACCTGGTGTTCTCGTGTCTGTTTTCAGTCTCTAAATGGCTGCGAGGAAGTCTGGATCAGATGCATACAACAATGGTGAGGACCTATTTTAAATGCTTTCTTGTTTCACTCTTTGACTGTTTTAAGTTGTGATTTAAATGTTGCTTTAACATCTGCTGGTACCTATAGGTCCACTGTCTCATTTTCTAATATATGCTTACTTCTTTCTTTCTGTTTTACACAGGACCCATCAGCTACCTTGATGAAGTTCCCTTCAAGATCAATGACAAATTCCGCTGCCCGGCCAAAGTGGGCCTGCCTGTCGGTTTCTGTCTCCCAGACTGCAACTCTATGCTGGCGGACTCACAGGTTAGTCAGACACAGGAAATATTTTCATTTTTGTGCTGCAGTGAAATGCTTCGAGGCATATACAAATCCACATATTTGTATACTACTCTACAGTATTTGATTTCACATTATATTGTATCCTATTCTATGTAAACTTGCACATATTCTACCTTGTCCTGCATTATTTGCACCATCGTATCCATTGCGTTCTTTTTTTATTGCATTATTTTACTTCCTTATTTCTTATGTAGTATATTGTGTATTGCAATGCCGGCAGGGACTGGGACTTTTTTTTTCATTTCCAATAATTACACTGTAGCTATTCTGTTTATGTTATGGCGCTAATCCTTATAGGCTCTGAGGCCTGTACGACGAAGCCGGATTTTTGCTTAGCGATCTAACTTCAGGGAAAACTCTGGGTTTCCGGTCCTACGACGCTGGTTCACTTTTTAGCGGGCTAGATCTCCATGGTAACTTATGCTGAGCGGCTAACCAGGGGGGTATACTACGAATCTAGTTCAACATATCCTGGATATGTTTTGAGTTATCCAGTTGACTTAATAAAAAATAAAAAAACGCTCTCGCTAAACTGTCCTACGACGCTGGCTATCAACTCGATCGCAAGCCAGCCGTGTCCTATCTAGTTAGGTGCGCATTCACATAAAATGGGTGGTATCTGGAGCATTCGACCAATCACAAACTTGGAGAAGCGTTCTGACAGCGCAGCGTCATACTTCCTGAATGAAAAGTCAACTATAATATTAGTCAAATATGAAGAAGTTAAACTTTAAATATCCATGACTTAAACACTTTATCCAGGATAAAAGCCACATAGCTGCAGCTGCAAGGTGAATACAGCTGGTAAAAGAAAAAGTGTTTGAATGCGTATATTAACAGGTTTATGATATGCCCCGTCTAAGACACGAGTGGATCTGACTTTAATTACATTTGACTCGAGTGTTTCGTCAACTTAATGTGTTGCTTAAAATAATACTTCTGCATACAGTAGGCCTATGTGACACTGTGAGTGTTGCACGGCCAGATACGGCTCAAGAAGCTGACTCAGATAAGGAAATATATGATACATTATGATGTGATATGATGTGATATGAATGATAATGGGACACATCGACATCTGCACTCACAGTGCCGCGGACTGTAGGCTATGTAATGTTACTTTGATCCGGTTACTTATGTTGTGGCAGATATTTAATTAAGCTTTCTTAACATAATAGTATAATAATAGTATAATAGTTATAGGCTAATAGTCAGATTGCTCTGAAGATGGGAGGTGATATTCTATTCATTTTCACGTTCACACAGTCGGTGATTTTGGCCGGCCGTCTTTCCTGCAACGGCAGTTTAAACTGTATTTCCTCCGCACACTGAGCTCTGATTGGTCAGCAGGCGGTGCTTTCACTGAGTTGATCTCTTATCCTGGAACCTATCCTGCTTCGGAGCAGACTAGGTTCCAGGATAAGTTACCGTGGAGATCTAGCCCGCTAAAAAGTGAACCAGCTCCGTAGGACCGGAAACCCCTGAAGTTAGCTTGCTAAACGAAAATCTTGCTTCGTAGTATAGGCCCCTGGTCCGGAGCAGGTTAGGTTGCAGGCTAAGAGATCAACTCAGTGAAAGCACTGCCTGCTGACCAATCAGAGCTCGGTGTGCAGAGTTTAAAGCGATCAAGTCATATTACAGGAGAAAGGAAATACAGTTTAAACTGCCGTTGCAGGAAAGACGGCCAGCAAAAATCACCGACTGTGTGAACGTGAAAATGAATAGAAAATCCCCTCCCATCTTCAGAGCAATCTGACTATTATAACATTAGCGTTAAGAAAGCTTACTTAAATATCTGCCACAACATAAGTAACCGGATCAAAGTAACATTACGTACAGTCCGCGGCACTGTGAGTGCAGACGTCGATGTGTCATTCATATCACATCTGTATCATATATTTCCTTATCTGAGTCAGCTTCTTGAGCCGTATCTGGCCGTGCAACACTCACAGTGTCACATACTGTATGCAGAAGTATTATTTTAAGCAACACATTAAGTTGACGAAACACTCGAGTCAAATGTAATTAAAGTCAGATCCACTCGTGTCTTAACGGGGCATATCATGAACCTGTTAATGTACGCATTCAAACACTTTTTCTTTTACCAGCTGTATTCACCTTGCAGGTGCAGCTATGTGGCTTTTATCCTGGATAAAGTGTTTAAGTCATGGATGTTTAAAGTTTAACTTCTTCATATTTGACTAATATTATAGTTCACTTTTCATTCAGGAAGTATGACGCTGCGCTGTCAGAACGCTTCTCCATGTTTGTGATTGGTCGAATGCTCCAAATACCACCCCTTTCATGTGAACGCGCACCTAACTAGATAGGACACGGCTGGCTTGAGTTAACGAGTTGATAACCAGCGTCGTAGGACCGCTTAGCGAGAGTGCGTTTGTTTTGGATTAGGTAAGCCGGGTAACTCAAACATATCCAGGTTATGTTGAACCGGCTTCGTCGTACAGGCCTCTGCCCTCTGTCCTGCGGTAATGTTATGTTTTTGTCCAAATGTTTGTCATGCTTCAAGTACTAGAATGGAATTCAGTTGTTTGTCAGTGTTAAGCATAGTTGTTCAAAGATTGGGAGAACTGCCATTACTGTTGAAAATGTAAAATAACTTTTTATCATTTATAAAACTATGATAATTATATTGTAAATATTCTTTGAGATATTTTTCTGTTAAACTGTCATGTCGCTCTTATACTAACTCTGTGCCATCTCCCTCCTCTTCCTGTGGTCTCAACAGTTTGACTTCTCTCTGGAGAGGCGAAGTGTGCGCTGGGGGGTTGAACTTGCCGAGGCCAGAGCAGCAGAAGCCAGAGCAGCAGAGGACGCAGCCAAGCAGGAGGCAGAGCGCCAGGAGTGTGCAGCGCAGGAAATGGATGGCGGTGGAGGGAAGAAACGGCGGTCCGCTGCAGAGGACCAGGACCTTTTACCACCAGCACTGAACCCTGTCCTTGCAGGATTCAGCCACAACGCCATCCTTACCCCAATGCCTGCCTCGAGCCTTGGCCCCAGGAAAATCCAGCCTAGCATTCCTCAGCTTCACAGACTCAACCTAGCTGACTTTGAGCGGGAGGAAGACCCATTTGACAAGGTGGAGCTCAAAACTTTGGACGATAGGGAGGAGCTCAGGACCATCCTCCAGAGCCAGCCTCAACCTCAACCTCAACCTCCTCCTCCTCCCTCTGTTTCCCCACCAGAGGTATCCCAGACAGGCTCACGTGGAAACAGCCCGCCTCCCCCGAGCACCAACACCAGCATCACATCCAAACCCGGCTTCACCCATAAACCCAATGGGTTAGTTCCCTTGCTGGACATGGACAGAGTTGGGCACCCTGGGAGATCGAGTTTTGACACAGACGATCGGCCTTGTAACATCCGCTCTCTCACCTTCCCCAAGCTCTCTGACTCTGGTGACCCAGAGCCAGTGAGGTACCACCCCCACACTGCACCCACCCCTGCTCCCCGACAGAACCTACCCAACGGCAGCCCAACCACCGTACCCAAGACCGAAGTTATCGTTGCCCCTGAGCCAACCAGCCACACCAAGAGTGGCGCACCAAAACCGGTGAGCATTAGATAACACACTGCATAGAGGACTAATATTGTGGGATACAGATACAGCTGTAGATTAGGTCTACACAATTATAGCAAAATTATATTTTTATCTATATTAAGATCATGTTTATTACGAATAGTCCTTGATTTTAGCGACAAACTATTTTTTTTGGCTTTCACATTTTTCAAAAAACAGCACCGGTTTCACTTGTGCTGCTGCATTGTTGCTGATGTACAAATTAGGGCTGCATGATTTAGCAAAAAACATACATTGCGATATATATATATTTTTTTCTTCTGCAATATGAAGAAAAACATCAAAATTCTGCCTTTTTAAGTTGAATGCCTCAATTGGGCACACTTTTGGGAGAAAAGGAAGCGGCTAGATAAAACAATGTGTAGGAAATTGGTTGTAAAGATATGAATGGTGAGGACATGGCAAAAAATGTGGCACTTAGTGCTCCTAACATTCAATCCATTGCGCAGCCATAGTGTAGATTAACCAGTGATGGTAAATAAGGAACATCAGGAACCTTATTGACCTTCATTCATGTTTTTACTCCAGCTCCACCCAGGGTCAGGAACTGCTGGCCTGCCGTGCGGCGGGGCCCTACTCAGCATGACCCCCAGCGAGCGGCAGTGTGTGGAAACACTCGTGGGCATGGGCTACTCGTATGAGGGCGTCTTACGGGCCATGCAGAGACAAGGGCAGAACGTGGAGCAGGTGCGACCACATCCCGCCCCATGGCGCAGCAATCTGGATTCCTAGCATATTCACTGTTCAATATGTGTATTGTTTGTGTGCTTGTGCAATTATGTTCAATGAAGCATCAGTGCAGAACATCTGTAAAAATATCCTTCACATTTAAATAAAGTTGTTTCATCACAGGTTCTATGGAGTACGTATGTCAGATTGGATTTGTATCAGACTGGTTTTAAATGAAGGCATCACAATAAGATATTATAAGATGCAGAGCACAAACACTATAAAGACAACAATAGATAAACCATACCGAACATTACTATTACTTAATTTAAATTATTTATTTTCTCAAAATAAAACCTTTTGTTGTAACGTGTAATTCAAGCCTCATACAGCGTGCTTATCAAAGCAGATAAATAACGAACATCTATTTATTGTTTGTCTAAGGTACTGGATTACATGTTTGTCCATGGGCGTCTGTGTGAGCGGGGCTTCGATTCAAGTGCAGTGGAGGAATGTTTAGAGATGTACCAATGCTCGGAGGAAAAGGTTTGTACAATCTGCAATCTGTTCTTTAGAAACCTTCATTGGGGTTTTAAGTCGAATAGTTTCCAGAAATGTTTAGTCTTTAAAATACAAGCAATACCTCTACATTACATTGTTTCAGGAGGTAGATAATGTCTATAGATTACATTATATAATCTATCATAGTATTATTGCATTTTTTCATCCTTCCTAGGCCTTGCAGTTCCTTGAGCTTATGTCGAGATTTGGCGAGATGGGATTTCAGCGCGATGCCATCAAAGAGGTGCTGCTGGTTCACAACAATGACCAGGACAAGGCTCTAGAGGACCTGATGGCTCGGGCTGCAGCTAGCTGAGCCAAGCACACAGCCAACCAAAGCCCAGACAAGGGCCTTGCCTCCCCCGCTACTGCCCAACACAGCCCTTTCCCTTCTGCCGCCCCATCACACCATGCCCTGCCCTTTGCCTTGGCTGTGGAAGGGACAGCTGGGAGACAGTTGTATTTCTCTCTGTGCTAAAACGTATCGTGTCTCAGCACTTCTTAAAGACTGTGTGCCTAGAGTGGAGGGGGGGTCAAACAATACTTTAACGGTGGTGTTCATTTTCTAAGAAGTCATTGGCATTAAGTTCCAGGATTTTGTGCTGTGAGGGTATTCAAGAATGGGAGGAATGACTGAGCTCTAAAGGAGAAACTGGAAGAATTGGGCTGCAGTCTTTCTATTGCTGTTCCGATTTGCTTCAACTTGGAAGTGTGCAGGCAAAGGACCGAAAGGGGACCTGGTGACAGACTCTGAGCACATTACAGACCCGTTTATACACTTAAAACTCCAAATCAACTAAGCTGCCATCTTCCACTGCTCTGTGCAGACCTATTATATGGGGGCGGTGGTTTGGGGGGGCTTGAGGAAGCTTTCTTTAACTGGACTTACATTTAAAGTAAAAAAAAAAAAAAAAAGTAAAAAAAAAAAGCCTAGTCGCCAGGCAGACAACTGACTCTCAAAAAGTGCACTCTCTGCTCTGTTGCCCTAGTTCTACTCTTTCATGCATTCATGTCTGTTTTTCTGTTCATTTGGGCACTTTTTTTCATGTCTTTGATTTCTGTTTTGGGAACTGCATATTAGACGTTTACTTCACTATAACTCAGAACGTAAGAGATACTTCTACCCCAGTTCGCTCTTTGACCTGCACTGGAATGGCCTGTTTTAGAGGGTGAGGAGAAATTGGGAACGTTCCTGTGTAATAAGAAATATCCCATAATCCACTGGCACTGATGTGTCACATACTGCACAGGCACACGTGTTTCATAATTATCGACTTATTTATATAGTTCACTGATACTTTCATTTACAATTAAAGAGTTTGCTATGATAATGTAAGATATGTTAACTCACTTTTAACCGTCATCGACTTCTGTTCTCAGACTGGAAAGGAGTGAGTGGTTTAAAAATAGAAACAAAATGTGAGCGAGGGTTGTTTTTGCAACCACATCACAGTGCAATAGAGACATTTCTTATTGAGTGACTGTTGACTGGAGCTTTTAGCCTCAGGTAATTTTTCGGGGATGAGGAATGGTCTACAAGCCTTGCTGGAAATGTGGATCTTACTAGAAAAGGTTTGATTTCGGTCTCCCATCATCTATTCATTTGCCACAAAATCTAATCATACATGGTTGACACATCCACTTTCTTTTTTCTCATGTGTAATATGATAGGATTGTTTATGTTGATTTTAGGTGTGTTGCCATCACCACAGTCTTAAATGGAAAATTCCACATGTTAATTGGGTGTAATTGTTTAAAAGAAGGCCAGGATCCTTTTATTTTTATAGTATGTGTCTGAGTTCCATGATAAGTAAAAAGCGTGTGTGCTGTGTTGCACCAAAGGCAGAAATGGGAGACGTTTCCATAATAAGGAGCTCTGTTGTCCTGATGGGGATTGTTGGAGGCGTGGTGACAGATTAAGGGCTTAACCAAAAGCAAACTTTGCTTTGGGTGGGTCCAGTACTTTGAATTGAAAAAACAAATTGTATTAACCACCAAATTATTTTTAGAACAACCCCTGGTTTGACAAATCTAAATATAGTGCAGTTTTTTCCCAATACAGACTCAATCATTCTCCACTTAATGTACCATTCAAATCAAATGTGTTAGCACGTGCTTTCAGGAAATGAATCTTTGTGAGAATATCGAGAGAAAAAAAATACAAATATCTCAGTGCTTAAGGGATACACATCATCATAAATATGTCCTTCGATCCGTTTTCCAATAGGACAATAGAGGGAGCAGGCAAACAACATGACAAGGCAATGTGTCACGTTGGACCTAGTATCATTAATTAAGCCTGCTGCTTTGTCTGGATACGTGGTTGACGTGATCGACAAATAGGCATTTTCATCCAGTTTTCTTTCTTCCTTCATTTACTGTGATACATATAAAGGTTCACTCACTTTACAGACAAACACACAAGTGGTATTATTGTCGCCTTGCATAACTAAAGCGTGATTTCCTTAATCTTACATAAAGCAAGTTTATGTCCACTTGCCTCTCTGACAGCCACAAAGGTTGGAGTGAATGCAGTATAGCAGGTTCTGGGCCTCCTCCAGAAACGCCTCCTCCCGTTTCTGTTACGATGTCCTAGTGATGAAAAGCAACTGGGGTCTCGTGTTCAAGGGTTTATATATCCAATCCTCTAAGCTACAGCATAATTGAACATGGAATGCTAACAAATCTAATGGACATTGAAATATCATAATGGTAAAATAAGAGGTGGCTGAGTTGAGTCTTATTTCTCAAGTTCCTGAAAAGTGATTTTCGAAATGTTCAATTTCCTCTTGGATGATTTGGAAACTCCTCACGATTAAATGTGCACATCTTTCCAGTGGTGAGACTGTTGATCGTTGCTGTTGTTGCTTTTTGAGCTTAATTTGAATTTGGTTACGTCATGTATGACCACCAGTTTCATGACCACACATTTGAGAGGTGTTGTCATGAAGCTGGTGGAAAAGTATTATCTTTTTTCTCTCTTTTCAGTTTACATCAACAATACAGGTCTCTCCAGTTGTTGTCCGTGGCAACTAGAAACATCTAGCTGTGTGGCTTAGTCAGCAGAAAACAAGTCAATTATGTTTTAGAATAGAGGCCATATTTGGTCTGCCGGAGCTCACCAGGGTTAAAAAAACGGAAGATTACAAAGTAACAAACTATAGCGTCTGGTAAATTGAAATGTAAAGTTAGTGTGATTTTTGATTTCCATTTTAACTTTGTTTTTGTGCTCATGCAAATAAAGGCCACCTTCAGAAAAATCCGGCAACGGTAATAAGTAATTTTATTAAGATTGATTTGCTTTAAACTGATACTGGTGGGCTGGCTTATATTAGTGCTCAATGTTCACAACAACAATTGTATTGTGGGAACCATGGAATTTGTCACAAAAAACAGACAAAACACAGCCCAAATACATTCATTTTCATTTTCATTTTAACCTGACAGCTATATAATACAATAGCACAAACGTGATAGCTCAAGATTTCATTGCATTTATATATTACCTAATATTGAATTAAAAAATGTAAAAGCTTACTGTTATTAAATACACATTTGTTCATATAACACTTGTTTAATAATATAGGCCTAGGTTAAATTGTCTAAATGTACTATTTGTTTCACTGAAACAAAAATAATGTGCCCTTTTAGATTGCAGAGAAAGCCATTTATTGAAGACCTGAGAAAACCTAATCATGTGATCAATGAGGTCACGCAGTTAGCGTGAACGAGCACGCATGACGCTTGCTTTTACGTACGACCTTGTTTTTGTTGATGTTTCATTTGAGTGCGGCTGCGCGCTGCTCAATGCTTTCGCCGTTGCTGACGCGACTTGGCAGAAAAAAATGAGAGTGTGGACCGTGGACCCTCTGGCAGAAGCTATCTACGTTATCTTAACTGAGAATAGAGTACAGCCAGAGTGTAGTTTTAATTGTGAGTCTAGGAGGCAAGCTATTGATAGGAAGACAGCGGCGATCTCAACCTTCGGCTCACCAACCTCCCGTATGTGATCGCCCTTGCTCGTCGTAGGACGCTGCCAGCGAGGGCCAAGAAACGAAACAGCATATCGCCATTATATGATCCAGTGTCCAGCGTCGCTTTTAACCTCCATGTGGGTGAGGGAGCTGTGTGTATCAGATTATGGCGAGAAAAACAGTTAGCAGGAAAAGGAAGGCAGGAGAGCCCAAGGACCAACAACAGGTAGGCGGAAACCGGTGCAGATCCAGATTAGCTAGCTAACGCTTGTCAGTTATGTTAGCATGCTAACTAGCAATGGGCTAGCCAGGTTTAGCTCATATAAGCCATGTCGTAGCCCATTGCTGACATTTTTAACGCAGTAACTGCTACATTTTATTTGAATATAGGGACAAACCATTCACCAAACCAACATATTGATCTTGTTCAAACAATAATACAATGCATTTCTGTTTGAACGTGGCTAATGTTTGCATGGTGTTATCCAACGGCAGTCTGTTATCAGCGATAGCTAAACTAAAGGGCTAGCTACCTCATCTTATTATGGCTATTATTTATTTATAATCACGCTTAAATAACACTTTTCTAGGTGAATAACATTGACAGTCACTTGTTTTGTTGGAGTAATCCCATGTCACTTTCTAGTCACCACGCAAAAAAGCATACATCGTCACTGAAGCCGTATTTATCTAGTATTCAATTATTAGGCATAGCTTTAGCTATTTAGCTACTGTTTACGATAGCGGAAACGTTTACTAACTGTTTACTAAGTGCTAACTTACATAAAAACCAAACGTAGATCAGATTGTCCCAAACAGCCGGATAGAATAGACCTCTGCTGAATTGAAAGAAAACATTCATCACCAGCATAATAATCTTCCCTATACAAGTCCTGAGCCCAGTTGTTGACATCTAAAAAATATAAACATATCTTCAGTAAAAAATGCATATATCACAAATAATACACAATGTAAAATATTCCAGATGAATAAAAACGATCTATAAAAGACCAAAAAAAACAGCAGCAACAGAAATATAGATTTATACTCCAGAGCAGAGACATCATATACATAGGATAGTATAAACATTGCAGATGTACACGACGGTGGCTGTTTTGCAAACTGTTCATGAGGGAGAAAACTAAAACCATGAGGCAGTGAGTTCTCATGCATGGTGAGTGTTATTTTATCTTATTCGCCAGTGCCGAAGACACAATTCCATTATATGTAAATGTAATGGACCATAAAGTATTCTGAATATGAATATGCTATGACTTTGAAACAGGTTGGCAGTATTACATACATTAACGATACTAAAGAATCTCCCTCTCACATCAGACACAACTACTAAATACCACAAGGGAAAAGACAATGGCAGATAGCACCACCAATTCATTTTTAGATCCAGGGAATACAATTACTTCTTGTGTTGTTTTCCTCCCAGGAATGTTCCACAATTTATAATGGGTATGAATATTTAGGCCATCGTGTGCTGTGAATAACTTTAAATGCACAGGTCAGTTTTGAATTTTGTATACATTTCCATAACAGACTTAGCAACCAGTCAATTTCAGTGGATGGTCAGTGTGACTGTTGTACCTGAGGTGATCCTGCTATATACTTTTTGCTGGTGTTGTGTTCCTGGCCAGAGATAATGGGGTCAGTAGGTCTTTTGAGGTCAACTGAACAACATCAGGTGCTGTCTGCGCCTGTGTGACCAACCAATAATGTTGGCCAACCTGAGTAAGATAATATTCAGCACGTTAGTTGCAACGTCTGCATTGACCCTTCCTGATCAAATGTCACTGACTGTGTATGTGTGCGTTTCTGTTGTTATTCTCCCATGATCCACTACGGATCTTAAACCTGTAGCAGTGAGGAATATATATGTGTTGACAGTCCTCTGGGGGATGGGCATGGCTCAGTACAGACTGGTTTTATTATTTAACTTAAACATAGGCTAACTCTTTCAAAGTTGTAATTAAAACAACATTATTGATAGCCTGAGAGCATGTTGGACTTTACACAAGTCATGCTTGTCCTAGAAAAATATAACCAAATTAACCTTTCTTCCCCCTCTTTCCTTAGCTGGGCTGGTGTCAAGCACCAAACAAGCGGAGTCGTGTATCTTGTTCATCACGTCATGCCCAGCAGTGGTGGTGCAACCGGCGCTCGGTGGTGTGTGCCCTGCGGGGGCGGGAGTTCAGACCTCAGCAGCAGCACGAGGTGAGGCTCCAGCGGAGCCTCCGGGGCTTTGCAGCTGGCAGGCTCCCCGGCATCCTGAAGGAGAGGGAGTTCTCCCTGGGGAGACTCAACAAGGTGTTCGCGTCGCAGTGGCTCAACCACAGGCAGGTGGTCTGTGGGACCAAGTGCAATACGGTGAGATGTCATTTTGTGACTAACTTGCATTTAATGATTAGGTATACCTATATATTTCAAACATTTGATATTAATGAGAGAAATTAATTGGTAATCAGTAAGGTTAAATGCGCTCAAATGATTCGATTACAGAGAAGGGCATTTTTCTGGTGATTGAAACCGATAGAAGAACCATACCCGAGTTGTGTCTAAATATTACTGTCAGTGTACAATTATTGACAGCCGATTTGGCTCTAAATCTTTCAAATTGCTTTATTGTTTTGATTCAGTAATCTGTCATAAAAGTCAGCAGTGTTTCCTTGAGCAGTGATATAAAGCTCCAGTGCGCCTCCAAATGAATAATATTGAGTTGTTAAATTAAACATGATAGAATTTCCTGATGCAGATAAATGTTTCCAGTTTGGTGACTTCAAAATTCGGTCCTTGGTTATTGCTAATCATGTTGCCTTGGTTTCCAGGAAATAACCAGGTTTAACATTCTATCATTTAGTATCAGCATGTATTTTCTAAAAACTAATAACATTGTTATTATATCCATGATTCTGTCTCTTAAATGTTTTCTTTGAATATTGGACACATAGACACTTATACCTGGCTCTGGTTGTTTTCTTTATGGACTCCTGAATCTGTTATTCTAAGCAAACGTCTTTCCTTCTTTTAACTGCAGCTTTTCGTTGCGGATGTCCTGACGGGGCAGATAACGCGCATTCCCATGCTAAAGGACAGGGAGTGTAGTAGTGGAGGCTCTGGGGTTGTGGGCGCAGTGGTGGGGCGGCAATTCCACCCAACAGGGGGCTCTCGTGCCCGGCTGGACCAGCAGGGCTGTGGGATCCACGCCATCGAACTGAACCCCTCCAAAACACTTCTGGCCACCGGGGGAGACAACCCCAACAGCCTGGCCATCTACCAGCTGCCCACACTGGACCCTGTGTGCGTGGGGGATGTAAGTGGTTTGGATCTGATTTGAATTTACTGTCATCCTGTTACGGCTTAAAGGTGCTGATCCTCTCTCGGGCAGTTCTAATTCACTTAGCTTAGATTCTTTCAAACCGTATTGAACTATCTGTGCTCCAGCCACACAGTTTAGGTGCTCCTATAGGAGGGAATGTTGATTACTCCGTCATATCTTTAGTCAGTTTGTGAGTGGTAATATTTTAGATACCTACCCTGGTGTTCAACTGCATCAGCAGAGGGGCTCTTGTAGGGTTGCGAATAGAAACAGAAATGATTACACATCATAAGCAGGCAAAACTGTAAAAGTTGAATTGACATTTTAATTAAATCATTATAAAACTTCATTGAACAGCAAAATCACAAATATTTCCTATGAGCCCCTCCAAGATAAAAGAAAGAAAATAATTAGCCTCCCACCCCTACATATGCTGTTCATGGACTTCCTCCATGTCACATTTTATCTGCACCCCCCCCCCAAAAAAACCTCACTATTAAATGTATTGCTTGTATAGAGATTGTGGTTTCAAAAAAGAATATACTGATACTAGAAAGATATTGCGGTAAAAATGGCCAGAACAAATCCATTTGGAACAACATTTTTCTAGATACGGTTACAAAAAATGAGTGATTGATTCTTTGAACCATCAACCAGAGAGCAGTACAAATGTTACAATGAAATCTACTTTGTTAATATTTCCCAGTCACCATTTAGCATTAGCAAATTTTACCCAAAATCACAAAATGTTGTATAAAACGTGTGGGTTTGCTTTAACAAAGTAGCCATCTGTTTTTTCAGGATGGTCACAATGACTGGATCTTCTCCATAGCGTGGATCAGTGACAACATGGCAGTTTCTGGTGAGTTGTCTATACGAGTTGGCCTGTATGAATGAATACTGCTGTGTAAGCATTGCCCAGTGAGCATTACAGGCCTGCGCAACTCGCTGCCCTTTACACACCCTGATGACAATCCAGTTTATTTGTCACTATTGTATTCTGTTAGTATAAACCCTTTAGGTGGTAATCACAATATATCTTGTGTTTTTAATTTTGTGTTAATTCCCAGGGTCCCGAGATGGCTCCATGGGCCTTTGGGAGGTGACAGAGGAAGTAATGAGTCAGGCTGAGCGCAGTCAGAATGAGGAGGCAGTCCCTTCATACGCCCACATCTCCCATCGGGCCCTCAAGGACATCCCCAAGGAGTACACCAACCCATACAACTGTAAAGTCCGCGCTCTGGCCTTCAACAACAACCATAAGGTAGGCTTCCCCCTGAAGGAAAATGTTTAGAAATCACATTTGGTGTCAGTGAAATATTTCTAACAATGATTAATATATTCAGTTCCAGTTTTTAGGAAACACAGGATATGAGAAATAGATCATTTGAGCCTCGAAGCTTTATATAATTTAACACAAATAATGCATGTTAAATATCAATTAGCTGTTGAGATTGGGTTACAACAATGGGTTTGGACTTTGTTTAAAGTTGAAACACATCCTGCTTACCTCCACTAAATCAAAATCTGGCTAAACAGATTGTGTGGTGAACTGTTACAGTTGTGATACATTTAAGTCATGTGTGACAATTGTAACTTGTCACTGACCTAGCGACAAATTGGAGATTTGTGGTTGCCCATGTTTAATGCTGTGAAGCTGGCAGAGGATTGAAATATGATACAGGAGTGGATGTTTTGATGCATTTCTTTGAAAGTGGGTTACCAGAGAAGTCAAGCCTACAGGTGAAATGTGGGCTCCGCCTCTACACTCATTAGTTTCAGTTATTTACTTCTGTCTTCCCATTTGTTTTTTGACCATTTTCAGGAACTGGGTGCTGTGTCTTTGGATGGTTACTTCCATCTCTGGAAAGCTGAGTACAACTTGTGCAAGGTAAATAAAAAATACATTGTTTGACTAATAATAATGCCGTCTGTGTCACCAGGCTGGCGAGTATGAGAGTCCCATTGGCCGTGTGTTTCACGCCGCATTCTCCCTCTCTTCCACTATCTGCATGTTAGCCTTTTTGCAAAGGGTGCTGTCGCTTCATCCTTCATCCAGCCAGATGATTATCAGAGCAGATCGTTTTTTCCACTGTAAAAGGAGATTAGATTAGATACACTTTATAAGAAGGATGATAATGGGCCATCGCTAAGGACTAATAATTATGTGATGCATTTCCTCTAGTGATTCATTTAGCTAATGGAGAACACTTGCAGCTTCCTGCTGTTATATTGTTTTTGTTTAATGCCAGTGGAATTTAAATATGAGATCAGCTACCAACCAAAATATTACATATTCCTCTAATATTTTTAGATTTTCTTACATTTACACAGGCAGCTAGACAGGTTATTACACGGTTAGCTCCCCTGCTTGCCTGTGTCATTTCTAGCAACATCATACACAGATAGTAGCTCACCTATTAAGCTATGAGAGGTCAGAAACAAGTAAAATCAAAGTACAAATATTTAAATTGAGCGGTGTGGCACGTCAAGTTAGGTGACATCGCTCTCTCCATACAACACATAATGTTATTAAATGCTGATCAAGTGATGGCAGCTTCACGCTACTGTGTTCAAACTGTATAAATAAAAAATGACTGTTCTTGAAATCATCCTTACTTGGTTTCCATTTAACATTCATTGGTGGATCCCTCTAGATCCTGTCCACCAAGCTGCCTCACTGCAAAGAGAATGTGTGTCTGGCATACGGACAGGAGTGGTCGGTGTACGCTGTGGGTTCTCAGGCCCATGTTTCCTTCCTGGATCCACGGCAGCCTACACACAGCATCAAATCTGTCAATTCCCGAGAGCGAGGAAGCGGTAAGTGATGCCTACAACTCTGAAATAAACTATTAGCACAAGCAGAGAGCAGCTGACCTCCCTTAACTGCTACTGGAAGATGTGTACAAAGGAAATACCGCTGTTTACTTTTCTTTTTAACTTGTCCTTCACTCCAGTTTTAGCAATTTATTAAAATGTATTTATTTATTCAAAAAATGTTAATGATACATTAAGTTGTAAGAGATATATCCTAGGTCTTCTTTCAATGACAACCGGTGTTCTTCTTACTCTTTGAACCTCTTTACATTGAAACGTCTGTCTGTGTTTGCAGGGATCCGTTCAGTGAGTTTCTACGAGCACATTGTGACAGTGGGCACCGGCCAGGGTTCCCTTCTCTTCTACGACATCCGGGCCCAGAGATTCCTGGAGAACGCTTTGAATCCAGCCGGAGGGTACCGGAAGTGCCCAGGAGATGGCATCCTCAAACTCTCTACAGGGAAAGGCTGGCTGGTAAACATATTTGTCTTTAATATTCATATTTAAAAAATGATAACAATTTGTGCATTTTCATAACTCTTCCCTCCTTCATCCCTCACCTATATCCTCCCTTTATTGTCCCCAACTCTCAGAATCACGATGAGACGTGGAGGAGTTACTTCTCGGACATTCATTCCTTCCCCAACGCGGTGTACACGCACTGCTACGACGACTCCGGCACCAAGCTGTTTGTAGCTGGTGGACCTCTCTGTTCGGGTCTGCATGGGAACTACGCAGGCCTGTGGAGCTAGCCTCTGTGTCCTCCATCGCTCTATCACTACATCCTCAGCCATCCCCTCCCTCTTCCAGTCTGTTGACATCACGGTCTTTGGTATCCCTCTTGCTCACCTCTGTTTTGCTCTCAGGTGGACTCAGGAGCATGATCTTGCACCCCACAGTATCACGGCTTTGAATATCGTTGTTGTGTATGTTAAAGTTTGTGTCCACTCTCCCTTTCTCCTCCAATTATTCCTTTGCTCCTTTCACCTCAGCTACTCAGTTGTTGTTTTGTTTTTTTTATATGAAAATGTAAAAACAATTAACTGCGGATTCTGCCACAGAGGAGCTCGCAAGAGAAGCATTAAGAATAAAGTAATACAGGTTCTCATCATTTAAAACATCCAACCCGCAGGAATAATGATATGGTCTGGTTTGCTTTTGTATTTAAGGATAGTGTTAACCGCTGCTTCCTCTCTGATAAAATACAGTGTCTTTGTGAAATACCTGTGGAATTTTATTTGGAAAGAGTTCCTTTCCTTTCTCTCGCTGAAATGGACGGAAATGAAAGAGAGGGCGAAGTGAAGGAGGACTGAAGAGCGAGCTCATTTTGCAAGACTGAACCAGAGTGCAGTTTGATATTTGATAAAGAATATTAACTGGAACAGCCTGTCCTGTCCCGCAACAATCACAAACAACTTCTCTTTTCTCCTGACTGAGAAGTTAAAATATTAAGACTTTGTGTTCATGTGTTCTCACTAAGATGATGTAAAGGAGAAACATTAAGATTGCTCAATGCAATGTTCTGCTATGAAAAAATCCCATCAAAAGCATATTTTATTTTGTGACAGTGTGTGATTTGAAAGGCATTCCCCTGCTGATATTCTAATTTGCTTTATTCTTTATTTATTTTCCGCTTTCTCTGTCACCTTTACTCAGTTGGTCATGGGTGTTTATATCTCCTTCTTTTGAAGGATATATTTTCTCTCTTTGCTTATGTTGCTTTTCTTTTAGACCAGATTGCTCTCCAGATTTGTCCCTTATGAAAATCTAATTTTGCTCTAACTGTTCTGGCATCGCCAGAGAATTTATACAAAGTTTAAATTTAGGAACAAGTTAAGAATCATCAAATATGATTGATAGCTAGAGGAGCCCCCTCATGATTCTGGGACTGCTCCACAGGAACTTGAGAGAATATCTGTAGTAGCTCACTGGTCTTCTTAACCACCCATCAGGAAGGTTGCAAGGAGAACTAATGAAACCGTTTCGACTCTACACTGGAGTTAGATGCTGCAGGCACATACTTTTAATGTTACAGTTGTACAACTTTACTTTTTCCTCTTTTTTTGTATCAAGGAGTGAGCAGTTCTGCTCTTTTCTTTGTTTGGTAGAGGGTAGGCTTGAGTTAAGTTTTGGCCTTCCTCAGGTCTTTCTGTGAAAGACTGACACAGGCGATCATAATTTCCTTTTCTACATGGAACTTTTCTCCAGTTTTCATGATAATGACATATTGAAAAGAGAAACCCCAACTATGACCACAAATTGAACAAAAAAAAACAACACTTTTAAAATGCATTTTATATATAAATGTGTGTATGTGTAAAATACATAGGGACAATTGCATACATTTTTATGTATATGTCTGAGGAAGTGTGTGGATTATGTCTACTTGGTGATGCCCTGTTTTTTTTAATACATGCCTCATGAATGTTTTTACAAATGACTAAATCTGAGGATATTGTAAGATAAACATCTGGAAAAAAACAAGCTATAAAATCTTTAAAAAGAGTAAATAATACAAATAAAATGTATATTGATGTAACGTTTATTTTTCATGTTTGACGTTATTTATTCAATGGAGAGATTTCCTCGAATTGAAGGGATCACTGCTGATTTAGATTCAATGGAAGCTTTCAAAGGTCTCTGTGGTAGGCCAGTCTGCATTGTGATCGAATATTCGATTAATTGTCTAGCGGTGTGCGTTTTCAATAACAAGAAAACGTATATTTAGACATACATATACAAACTGTATGTCTAGTTCGAACGAGGTGTGTGTCTTTCCAGTGGTAGAATATAACTAAGTACATTTACTCAAGTAATGTACTTATAAAATACATTGTGGTACATGTACTTCAGTATTTTCACATTATGATACTTTATACTTTTACGCGACCACAATTTGTGGGCACATGTGGTATTTTTTACTCCACAGCAGTAATTTTACACATATAGTTACGTTAAATATTTGGATTATTAATAAAAAATATAAATGGACTAATACATTTTTGGGCTTGTTTATTTGTTCAGCTACCCAGAAGTGTACAAAGAAGTAATCAAAATAAACCCTACATTTAAGATAAGATAAGATAAGATAAGATGGACCTTTATTAATCCCCATGGGGAAATTCAGTTGTACAAGCAGCAACAGGGTAAGCGTGAAAAACAGGACTGCACAGATTCACACAGATTAATAAAATAAAAAATAAAAATAAATAATGATAATAATAATAAAAGACTATGAAATAGGAGATGAGTAAAAATGTGGTCATATAAATTATGAAGTACGAAATGAGTTAAAGTGACAAGTGAAAATGGACATCTGTACATATAGTGACATATCTATCTACATATTTGGTCTACTACTAATATATTAACATGGGTTGTGGAAACAGTGTATATTTATGTCCAGTGATTTTTTATTTATTTTTTACATTATTGACCCCTTGTTGTGCAGCCTGATGGCTACAGGCACAAAGGACTGCCCGAGGCGCTTGGTGCTGTGTCATGGAGGGATGAGGCTGTGGCTGAACGTACTCCTCATCTTCACTAGCTCTGCATTGAAGTGATGAACACATTAATGCACCAATAATTATAATACAACAATTTAAAAATAACAGGTGCTTAAAGGAGCCATTCTGCATAACAAATACTTCTACTTTTGGTAGGCCTATTTAAAGTATATTGAGAAGCCAATACTTGACTTGAGTGCAATTTTGAATGCAGAACTTGAACTTGTAACTGAGTATTTGTACACTGTAGTATGGCTACTTTAATTTAAGTAAATATTTGGAGTACTTCTTCCACCTCTGTGTTTCATGGGGAAGGTCGTTAGGAAGTTAGTTGTGACCCGAGAGGAGAGGGGAGCATCACCACCACGGCAGGGCACATCACGTGACCACCTTGTCTGCTGCTGGCCGAGTGAAGCGTGTTAGCAGGTAATAAAAACACTATTTTTCTAATGTTTTACTAAGTTCACTTTCTGTATCACAACGCGTTTAAAATGCGTATTTAAACGCCTACTCGCTGAAATAGTTGTTCGCTGGCTTCGTTGTTTATCCGGCGCGGGGTTGTTAAGGATGCAATTTTTCTGTTGTCTTGTTTCCAGGCGAGCAATGTCGGGATGGGATTGTGCCCCGCTGAGAGGCCTTTTTTCTTCAGATTTAACACCGATATGTTGTTAGACGTCACGCCTGTTGTTTATTTGTTCGAGGACGAGTCTGATGTAACCGCCAGCATCGTTAGATAACTCTACGGATCTATAAATACGGATAAGACACGAGCACGCCAGTTAGACGGCCGTTGGCTATCAACTTGGAGCAGATTTAGGTAGCACCGTTAGCTAGCTTCATCCCCGCTGCTCAGTATCGATGCTATGGTCTCAGCATTAGCACGTTAAAGCTAACACGAGTCTGTGCTAGCGAGGACAAAGGGACCACAATACCAACAGCTCAAAATCGGTCAGTGTTGAGTTAAAAAAAAGGATGCTACGAGAACATGCTTTTATTTTGCAACATATACACGGAACGTCAACCGTTACAGAGTAATATGTAGAGTCAAGTAATAAGTAACATGATAGCAACATGCTAACGTTAGCATCGGTTCACAACAACGCTCCGCTTGGTTTATTACTAAAAAAACGGTAGCTAGTCAAATATTTGTAAGATGTTAACAGGTAGATGTTTATATATGTTGACACGTTAAAACATAACTGGTATTTATTTGTCACTGTACACGTAAATGTAATGAACAAGATATGCGGAGTTACTCTGTCATGGTTTGTTATTGTTTATCTTTTAAGAACGTCAAGACTCATACTTGATGATGATGTTATAATTGTATTATTTGAGTACAAAATACTGCTACTGCCGTAGGTATTTCAATATTAAAAAGAGGTGTAGATTTTTCACTGAAATCACATTTTATGCCAGTTCGTCCTTTTGCACAAGCTTTGTTCAGAGCAGCAGCCAATGGCAGCAGTGCATTTGGCAACGTCACTCAGACACTGTAAACTGGATTGCTATTGTTCTCTCACATAAAACAAATGGGTCACTGGGGATATCTGTAGGTATTATTCTAGTACACACCTTAGTCAAAGCTTGCAACTCCAAAAGCACTACGTGTTGTTCTTTTGTTATTTAAGGAATTTAGCAATTCCCTTTTCCATATAGATGCAGGTGGATAAAGCCCTGTGTGTGCAAAGGGTTTTAAGAAGTGTTTAATATTTTCTACTGAAATTATTAGTTCTTACTAGTCTATAAGGTATCACAGCCAAATTGCATCAAGTTACAACTTGTGCAGGATTTATTACAAATACATAATAATTTGTGTGTGTGTGTGTTTATAATCTGAGGGTGTAAACTATCTAGCGTGTAAAGGGGCTTTGAGGTCAGGGTGTGTGGGGTTTGTTCTGCTTCACACCCTTTGGTCTGTGATTTTTGTAAGAGGACACTAGGCTCGCTTCTCCTCCTTGACCCAGATTCTCATAAGCAGTATTCATGATTGTGCAATACAGCTTTGCTATGCTCACAACACATATTTTTGGTATTAAGCACTTTGTTCTTTCTATGCACTCGTACATGGGAAAGTATCGTGGCTCTGCTCTAACATCATTGTAAATTAAATGCTTGTGTTTGCAGAACTGTTGGTTGATTTCACTCATCCTTCCACGCTTCTTGTTTCCTTTTTTGCAGATTTTTCTATTTTGTACATACAGAGTTTTGTATATACTGTATATGATGAGCTCGCTGGGCGGCGAAAAGGCCCGGGGCCCTCGGGAAAAAGCGCTGCCTGCTGCTACTCAAACATCACAACCACAAAAACAGATACAGGTGGGCCACCGCAACCACATAAACATGAAGAAACTTAGTGAAAGTACACTGCCTTAAGCCATAGAGATTTTGAAACAAAAAACCAGTGTGCACACGATTACTCTTGCCAACAAAACCAGAGTGCACACATTATGCAAGGAGACCTCCTTTATCATTATTGAAAAGGATCTACATTAGCTTTTAATAGGGACAATCGTAGGCCCTTGCTTAGTAACAATATAGTCAAATACATACCTCTCTAACTGTGTTAAATATAATAAATGTTTGGTTGTTAAGGAACATTTTATGACTGACAAGTTAAATATGATAGGTGTACCTAATACAGTGGCCAAGGAGTGAAGATATTTCGTTCTTACATTTGTTTTCTCCTGTGAACCAAAAGGCTACAGCTGAGCAGATCCGGCTCGCACAGGTGATCTATGACAAGAATGATGCTGACTTTGAAGGCAAAGTTAACCAGGTGAGGAACACTACTGGTGCTGTGTTCACACCAAACACAAAACAAACCATCATGTGTTTATTCATTTTACATTGTCTGTGGCTTAAATGAGTTTACTGCAGTGGTTTGAACCCATATACACCTTCATTCAGTTGCAATGAATGGATCAAAAGAATGCTGAACTAACTACATCCTGTTGCTCGTTTGTGGAAATTCTGAATTCATGCTTAGTCAGGTCTGTCCCAAGCTGACACCACATTTAGTTTTAAACAGCTTGTTTTCTGAATGGAGTTCACATCCATCAGTCTTTACTAACGTTGTAGCGGTCAACTAATATGGCATCAATGTTATTTTTACACACTGAGATATCTACATGCTATGTACTTTAAAATCCTTAAAAAAAACAGCGCAGCATTTCCAATACAAAGTGTATTTGTTGCTTTCCCCAGCTGATGGAGGTGACTGGGAGGAACCAGGATGAGTGCATGGTAGCGCTCCACGACTGCAACGAGGATGTGAGCAGAGCCATCAACTTTCTCCTGGAGAGCACCTCAGACATGGTAACAACACCATGTTTTATTTAATCCCTTTGTTACACTTCTCATACTAGCCTGTGTTTTTTTCAACAATATTTATTTGCAATTTCAGATAGTGTGAATAGATTTATTTTGCTTGGTAGACAGAATATGCGACGGCCCAAAACGATAATTGATTTGACTGAAATTGGTATTTTAAATTAGAACGATTTATGATGAGCACATGGACTGTGAAAATAAGTGAGAAAAATCATCCATGCTCTAAATTTGTAATCATACTCGAGCTGCCACAAATCAACCAGACCTTCTTTTAACATGTTAGAGTAAGAAAAGCACAGGTGTAATACATAACCTTAATTATGGCTGAATTCCATTTATCTCAAATGATTTAATAAGCCTGGCATTGTGGCTGTCACGGCTTAAGCATCGTACTGTTAGACTTTGAAAAATCACTAAGTAGCTCTGTTGCTCACATCACTTTTTTGTCTAAGACGGTTGGCCTTTTGAAATGAAGGTGAACAAACTAAAGGACAGATCTCAGACAGAGGACATGTTTCCAAGGGGAAAGTTTAAAGGGGAAAAAACACTTGTGTTGTTCTGCCAAGTCCGAGTGAGTGTCCCAACATTTGCGATGCATACCAGCCGGCACAGATGGCGACTTGAGGCTGAAGGGCAGCCGGCCAGACAGCTGCCCTGCTTGTTGTTTTGGTTTTGTGGAATTCCAAAAATAGCAAATAACTGGT